GGATCTCTCTCTCTCTACCTCTCTCTCCCTCTCTTTCTCAAATCAATTTTTAAAAAAGACAAGAAGCAGGGCCCAAGTCATATTTTGTGAAGATGTTAGGTATGCTTGTTATTTCTCTAAAATTATTAAGCATGCTGACCACCTCCAGTGGCAAGAAATGAAGCAGAAACTGGATAGGAGGAATGATACAAGTAGAAAGAAACAATAATGCTAATCATGGTAGAAGTGAAAATAATGAACATTTATTTAACACTTCACCTAGAGCTGAAGATTTAATAAGAACTCACATGGAGTGTGTCATTTAATCCTCACAAATAACTTTCTGAGTTATTTGACAGCGTAAGCTGCCAGGGAATTATTTTAACTTAGCCTTGAGAACAGAATGAGCTCTCTATGGTTGAAGAGTCAGATTCCCCTCTGCCTCTCTAAAAATGCATCTGAATTCGTTGAATTACAGGAATGATAGAAAGCTTCATGACCAACTGAATTCATATAAATTTATATATTGCTAAGAATGACTTCTAATGAGTAAAAATATTAATGATTACTCTAGGTTCCTTAATTTCCAAATGAATAAATTTGAGGCTCAGAGATTATGAGACTTACTTAAATCATGATTGTCAGAGATACCTCTCCCTCAGTCTGTGGCCACTTGCTCCACACCTCACGACCCACAATGCAGTGAGGGAGACTATGTGCCATTCCACTAATTTATAATAGTCCTACTACAAACGCAGTCTCTTACATACAAAAAAAAACTCGCTTTGGAGTCAATGTCAATGAGTTAGGTTTATGTGACCAAATGTTAATATCTAAACTGAATATTGGACTGCAAAAATTTCTTCTTAAACTGCCACAATGCCTCAAAAGACCTATGTGATAAACTTCCAAATTCTCAGAACAATATTAGATTAGAATGACCTGAAAGATACACAGCACAATAACATGGATTCCCAATTCAATCTTAATTCCCAATGCTGAATCTGTTTTTTAAAATAATTAACTTCCCTGGCTGGTTTCTCTCAGAGGTTAGAGTGTGGGCCTGCACACTGAAGGATCAGTGGTTCGATTCCTAGTCAAAGGCACATTCCTGGGTTGCAGGTTGGACCCAAGCCCTGGTCAGGCAGGTTCAGGAGGCAACCAATTGATGTGTCTATCTCACAGTGATGTTTCCTTCTCTTTCTCTTCCTCTCTCTCTTCTTCTCTCTCTAAAAATCAATGGAAAAAAATATCCTCGGGTGAAACTTAACAACAAAATTTTTTAAATAATAAAATAATTAACCAATTGATTCATATTTAATGCCTGACATCTGATAAGAGAAGATGATGGGAAAAAAAGGAAGTTGAGCTTAAAGAAAAACAAAAACATAGGAATGCCATATGGGAAAAAATAAAATTGAGAAAGAAGAATATGTGAGGCATGGATGATCACTTAGAGAAGATGTAGAGGGGGAAAAAATAAAATGGAAATAAAAGCTTGTTCAAACCATCTGGAAGAGTTCATTCTACCTCAAAATTCTGTTTAATTAAAACCTGGCCACAATTACTGCCATCAGTTGCCTGTCAGTGACATTCTTGCTTCTTGGTAACCAACCCTTATGTCTTTATAACTCTTTAAAACTGCAATGATGATTTTCTGTTTCATCAGTATCTCATGAAATTGCTCACAAGTATGCTCCAGCCCTCGTCATGCAATTAACCACTGACTGACAACACAAAATGACAAAGATCATGGTTTAGCTAAAGCATTATTATTCAATTTGCAAATGATTTACTGTCATTTGACTTCATGTTTTTGTTGGTTTGTTTTGTTGTTGTTTTTTGACAACAGGGGTGGTAGCTCATAGGTATTAAAATGAATAGCCAAAATATTTAAATTACTATAAAAGCCTTCACTGTTAGAGTAAGAAATAAATATCCTAAATTATTTTTTAAAAGCACTTTATTATCAAAGCCCACTAAAGAATTAGAAACATGAAATAACATGGAGCTATTATGGGGAAAATAATGAATATCAAGGTCAACTTTATCAACAGAATCATAATTTTTAACCCTGATTTTTCTTTTTTCTTTCCATGGTTTAAGTAACTACAAATTTGGAATTTGGCAACATAATAATGTAAAAATGTTATCTATCTAGTTAAGACTCCATGTCACAACTTTATTAACTATGGTTCCCATTTGGGCCAACTATAGCCTCACAAATAATCCATCCTGGTAAACCCAGGTAAAAAGCAGAAATGCTAATATAGGATAGCTAGACTGTTATTCCTATTCTAACTGAAAATCCTGCCTATTGCTTTATTTTTAAACTGCCACTAACATGTTTAAATTATAATTGCATCTTCTCAATAAGCACAGTCCCTTATTATTGGAACTGGCAGGGGGCCTTGGCATTTGAGTCATCATTTCATTATGTCTATTTCTTACCCTGGTATACAAATTAAATAGAAATACCAGCCAGATGAATTATGAATGGTGGGGGGAATCTGAAGCAGTAACTTTAAATTGAATTAATTTTTCTCAAGTCTACCAAAAAATATAAAGCAATTAACATTGGTAATAATACATTCTACTGTAGGCCCATTTCAAAAATATTAACTATCATTCTAAAGGCCAAAGATGCTGCAAATCCTCCTAGCCAAATATTGTACTTCTTTAAGACAGAATCCACAGCTTTAAGATTCCCTATGGTACAAAGCTATAATAATTCCGGTTTTAACACAGCTACAAATAGGGACAAAAATACACATTTAACAACTATCTTCCAATCTAAAGAGCTTCAAAATGGATAGCAATTATTGAATATACTAGAGGCCCGATGCACAAATTCGTGCATGGGGGTGGGGTGTCCCTCAGCCCAGACTGAACCCTCTCCAATCTGAGACCCCTTGAGGGATGTCCGACTGCCAGTTTAGGGCTGATCCCACCGGGTGAGATCGGGCCTAAATGGGCAGTCGGACATCCCTCTCACAATCCAGGACTGCTGGCTCCCAACCTCTTACCTGCCTACCTGCCTTATTGCCCCTAACCGCTTCTACCTGCCGGCCTGATCACTCCCTAACCACTCCCCTACCAGCCTGATTGCCCCTAACTGCCCTCCCCTGCTGGCCTGGTCACCCCCAACTGCCCTCCCCTGCAGGCCTGGGTCCCCCCCAACTGCCCTACCCTGCAGGCCTGGGTCCCCCCCAACTGCCCTCCCCTGCAGGCCTGGTCACCCCTAACTGCCCTCCCCTGCAGTCCTGGTCACCCCCAACTGCTCTCCTCTGCCAGCCATTTGTGTCCACATGAGGGCGGCCATCTTTGACCACAGGAGGGTGGCCATCTTGTGTGCTGGAGTGATGGTCAATTTGCATATTACCTCTTTATTAGATAGGATATTTTGCACATGTGAAAAATATTATTTAAAACATCATGTGTAATCAAATAGGAATAATATAGTTCATTCAGACTAAAATATCTAAAGATGTACTAAAATGGAATCTTCAGGCTTTCCTTAGATGTTTTCTAGTCTCTGAACTTATATGATGAAAATACGACTGGATGGTTTTTCCTAAATCACCTGATTCAGTTATACTAAATCAGAGGTCCTCAAACTTTTTAAACAGGGGGCCAGTTCACTGTCCCTCAGACATTCCACACATGCGCACTGCGGGCCCGGGATGAGTCGGCTGCTAAGCAGGACAGGCAGCGGCAGCAAAAACACCTGGCGGGCCGGATAAATGTTTTCGGCGGGCTGCATGTGGCCTGCGGGACATAGTTTGAGGACCTCTGTACTAAATGGTTGTGCATCCTTCCATCTTTTTCTAATATTTTGTTTAAAAATTTTCCATTGATTTTCAAAATTATAAAAATGAATCAGTTATGAAAACAATGTTGTTTAAAATCCTCAAAAATATCTGACTCTGCCTTTAGGAAACTATTTCCTTTTTTATTGCAGGCACTCTAAAATATGTGTAGATTATTCATTCACGGAGTTTTTAATTGTTTCTGCAACTCTTCTTTTGGCCCAGAGAAACCAATTCATTTCTGAAAGCCAACAGCTTTCCCAAAATGATTGGGAACAAGCCTAACACATCTTTATTTATCTTGATACAAAATATTGAAAAAAATCTCTATTGAAAACTAAATGTACATTCAAATGTCTACTCTGATAATTAGCATTAGTTTTCCTTTTAATTACTGAAATTACATTACCAAATTTAAAATAGTCATAGCTAATTTTTCTTTATATCTTATTATTTATTTTAATGTTGACTTTTTTCTAAAAATAAAATTTACCTGAGGGAATAGATTTGTTTACACTCAACTACTTAAGATGTTCTTCTGTTGTCTTTTCATATTTATTTATAATTTATAATCCAGATGTTCCCAAAAGGGTTTCAAAAAAAATTCACAATAAACATTCCTAGGTCCACTGTTCAAGGAAATGAGTCTTTATTTCAATATTAAAATTTAATTGAAACTCTGAGATAGTTGCTTCATTTTCAACTTTTAGAAAATACATTATTCTGCATGTTAAGACAAAACTAGAATGTAAACCAGATGTTCCTAGATTATGAAATTTAGAACAGAACATATTCAAAGTGTAGCTAATTCCTGACCTATATTTATTTAAGGATAAGACAAGCAAGTCCCACAATGCTGAAACTAGGGTTACCTTTTCTCTCATAATTTGTCTTCAATCAGTGGATATATTCATGGGTTTACAGTACCAGATTTTTAGTGAACCTTATCATTTTTATAATTACTATGGCTCATATTAATAAATGTCTTCTTTTTATATGCTGAAATAAATTAATGGAAGAGGCAAACACTATGCAAAATGGCTGGGAATAGGGCCAAATCTTATTACATACATCCAGGGACCAGTAATTTTCTAAATGGCACTTTAAGCTCTCTTGCCTAAATAATTACAAGTACAGCCAGCATGTAATTTACTGAAATAATTATGCACTCTTCTAGTTCCCATCACCCATCTCAAGCTCATGGCCACTTACCTTGTCTTTATTTTCCGTGCCAGAAGCCTCAGGCTTGGTCCTAATCACAAATGGGGTGGACAGTCGCAGCAGGACCCTTTCGAAGGTGGCAGTCACCTTCGGAGAAACGATCTCGAAGCAGTCCTCAAACTTGAGCACTTTGTGAGTGTCGCATCGAAGCTGCTTCCGCAGGCCTTCCCCCAGCTGAAGGACTGCCATGTGGGGGTCAAACATCAAGTGGAAAGGAAAGGCTCTGCAGAAGGTGTTGATGCTAATTCTGAGGTCCTCGGGAACTTGGGAGGTTCCCTGGGGAAGGTTCTTCGAGATAGTAGTATTTTCACATTCTTTGATAAGAAAAGTGAGACAGCTACAGTTGCCTGGGTTTGAGCCATCTGAGCATAACTCATTTGCCACCTGTTCCACTTCCACATCCAGCCGATAGATCTTCTTTCCTGCGGCCTTAATCATCCCCAGCATCGCAAAGCCCACAATCTGGTGAGGGTGGAAGTAGTGGAGCATGAGAGCACCTTCAGGGAGCTCTTTGCATAGGAATGATGGTGACTCCAGGGCAGCCTGTTTTCCAAAAGAAGTTCTAATGTGTTCCAACAAAGCATCGAAGCCATTAAAGAAGTCCTGCAACGTGCCACCGACAGCTCGAAGGACTCTCTCGTTCTCATCAAAGCATATATTAAAGAACTCCTCACCAAATCGTTCTTGAATGTCCTCGAACTTCAATCCTAGAGGTAAATGGGAAGCAAGTGTTAGTGAAGAATAATATAAACAACTAAATTTAAAGCTTTTAAGTACTTATTAAATGGCATAGCTAGAGAGTGAAACATGAGAGGTAGACAAATGTCCCAAATAGGGTTAACTCATTCATCTTGAGTCAGAGAAAGTACATTTCATCTTCTGGATGGTTCTAAAATGTTAATGAGCATAAACTATTCTGTATGTTTTTAAACAGGCTTTATTTTTTAGAATGGTTTTAAGTTCAAAGCAAAATTGAGCAGAATGTGAAGATATTTTCTATATACCCCCCTTCCCCTCTGCACACAAGCCCCCCTTCCACTATCAACATAGTGCACTGCAGCAGTACATGCATTACAATCAATGAACCTACAATGACACAACATTATCACCCAAAGTCCAGAGTTTACGTTAGGGTTCACTCTTGGTATTATATTCCTTGGGTTATGACAAATGTGTAATGACATGTGTCCACCATTAAAGTTTCATCCAGAGTAGTTTCCCTGCCCTAAAAATTCTCTCTGTTTCACCTATTCATTCCTCCCCCAGCACATGGAGCAATAACTTTTTAATTTTGCTGCTAATCTAACTTTTCTTTTCAACACCCTACTCCGTTTGCTGTAATTAGCACAAATAACACCTTTTCCTTAATGATTTCCCTCATTGTTAAAGGATCTTTGTAAAGATAACTGTAAGATTGGCTCTATATTATGTCCATCCAATATGCCATCTTACTTATCAAAATTCATTTGTTAAGTGGTAAATATCAACCAGAAAGGGCATTTGTGGTATATGAGGAAATGTGTCAGGTTATCTAGGGAAAATAGAGGACTTAAGTTAGCAGCCTTTGGGGAAGTCCTATAAGTCCCCAGGGAGAGACAAAAACAAGAAATTTAAAATGGCAGAACTGTGAAATGGTTTGCATTCTTTCACCTGTAACAAAGGTAAGAACAGCCAGGAGTGGAGTAGAAATCTGAGCAGAAAGAGTTAAAGGTCTTTGTTAAGTTTTCTAAGTTCATATTTATTACTAGATGCTATGGAAAAAAAGAACTCTAACTCATAGTAATGCAATTATAATGAAAAAATCATACACACACACACACACACACACACAATGTATTATGTAGTAATTAGAAACAGAGGCACATGTGATCAAGTAGATTCATCCTTCAGGATAATCTGAGGCAAAATAAGGAGGGAATTTATGGTCCAAAGAGGAATACATATAAAAGAGTTGAATCTGTATACTAAAGAAAGCTTTGCCCTGCCCAGTGTGGCTCAGTTGGTTGGGCCTTGTGTATCAAAAGGTTGCTGGTTCAATTCCTAGTCAGGCCAGATGCCCCTGTGGTGGGCTTGATCCCCAGTAGGGGGAGTGCAGAAGGTAGCTAATTGATGTTGCACTCTCACATCGATGTTTCTCTTTCTCTCTTCCTCTTCCTTCCTCTGTCTCTAAAATCAATAAAAATATTTTTTTACACGAAGAAAGCTTCTATTAGACTCACTCTATGGCTTCTCCTTTAATTTTGGCTGTGTTGGGAAACAGGAATTTACCACCCCAAAATATGTCTCTTCGTCATGAGTTTATTTTAGGCTGATTCTTTTTAAGAAACAAAAGACTCAGGAAGGGCTTTTTACCTCCCCCTTAACTGCCTAAGAGAATTTAGATAAACAGCCTAGTCTAGAAAGAGCTTTCACCAGAGATAACTACAAAGAGTATAAGTTAGGTGTGATAGGGCTTAGAGACCAAAGTCCTCTCTGTATCCCATTGTCTACTCATGGCCCAGTAAACGTATATTTATTCATCTCCATGTGAACTGCCTTCCTCCCCTCTGAAGTAGCAGACTTCTACCCCTCTTCTTAATTCATAATGGCATATATGCCCCAATTGCTGACCATCTCTGGGCCCCATGTTCCTATGGAGCCCCAGTACATATGTAATTAAGTTGGTTTTTCTTCTGTAAATATGTCTCAAGGCAATTTAATTCTTAGACCAGCCAGAAGAACCTAGAAGCATAGAGGGTTTTTCTCCTTCCCAACAGCTAAAATCAATACATGTAGTTTATCTATATACTATATAAAAGCCTAAGCAACTGGAATGTCAGAATGACCGGTTGCTATGATGTGCACTGACCACTAGGGGTCAGACATTCAATGCAGGAGCTGTCCCCTATTGGTCAGTGCACTCCCACAGCCAACCTCCCACAGCCAGCCAACCTCCCAGGATCCCTCCCCACTTCCAGCAGGCCCTGGTCGGCAGCCAGCAGGAAGGCCCTGGCTAGCAACTGGCAGCCAGCAGGAAAGCCCTGACTGGCAGCTGGCGGCTGGCAGGAAGGCCCCAGTCAGCAGCCAGTTGCTGGCAGGAAGGCGGGGCCGGCCAAGGGGAGGTGCCACGGGAGGGAAGGCCCCAGCCAGCAGCCAGAAGGAAGGCCCCAGCTGGCAGCTAGAAGGCCCCAATGGGCCCTGATCGCCAACAAGGCTTAGGGACCCCACCTGTACATAAATCTCGTGCATGGAGCCGCTAGTGTATTAATATTCCCTTGCCTAGTCTACTCCATTGTATAAAAAGGTCCTGGAAATTAGACAATACTTTAGTAGTGCCCTGCTAGAGTGCAGAGCAGAATAAACTATCTACGGCTTGGTTTGTTGTCCCTACCTACCATGCTTTAAGGAGTGAGGCAGTAACACAGTCAACAATATTAGTTAACAAATAGAGTAAAAAAAACCCCATCAAATATTTTTTGAGAGCTTTCTATAGTCTAAAACTTTGGTAGCCAAGTAAGTGGCCAGTTTGACAAAGAAGTTCTTACAATCAATGTGAAATTAAAAGAACTCAAAATCTAATTGAAAAAGAGTTCCTTTATTAAGAAGCATTTCACATTAATTTTAGTTTCATAGAATTGATGTTCAAAGCTAGCTGAGAAAGTCACCTATTAAAATAAAAACATCAGTCACCACTCATGTAACATTGTCACTTTACAAGATTACCCTTCAGCATATGTTGCATTCACTAACAATAATACCAGCCAAAATTGATAAGAATAATATTTATCTGTCCAGTTAGCCAGTGTGGGAGAAAACAAGACAGATGATATGCACTGCAGTTTGGCTCCTGATCCAACTCCTCCATTGAAACTGCCTTTATAATTACTTAAACCAGTACATACTGTTTTGTCCTTTTCTTAGTTAACCTTGTTGTTTTTCCTTTAATTTGATTCTACTGATCATCTCTTCCTCATAAATCCCCCTTCTCTCTTGGCTTATAAAATCTCACTCTCCTGATTTGGTTACTATCTGCCTGAAAATTCCTTCACTAAAACTTCTTCCTATGCCAAATCTTTACATCACCATCATTAAAAAATTCTAATACCAATTAAATTTATGTCCCTTCAACAATAATGTTCTTTGCTACTATTAAAAATTTTAATTATGGCCCAGCCAGTGTTGTTCAGTGGTTGAGCATCGCTGTTCTATTGCAGGTCAGAGCACATACCCAGGTTGCAGATTCAATCCCTGGTCGGGGTGCATGCAAGAGGTAGCCAATCTATGTTTGTTTCCCTCTCACATCTCTCTCTCTCTCAAATCAATTTTTAAAAATTAAAAAGAAAAATAAATTCGGGAGTTCTGGTCAAGATGGCAGTGTAGGTAAACATGGTAATCACCAATTCCCACAACTACATCAAAATTACAATTGAAATATACAGAACAACTATCATTCAGAACCACCTGAAGTCTAGCTGAATGGAAGTCCTACAACTAGGGAATTAAAAAAGAAGCACATCAAGACTGGTAGGAGGGGCAGAGATGCAGGGGGGGAATCTCAACCCGGTTGGTCCCACACCCTCATGTGGTAGTTTAAAATCAAGAGGGATATCTTGGCTGTGGGGTTTCCCTAAGGAGTGAGGGGTCACAGCCCCAAACCAAGCCATCCAGCCAAGGGGTTCAGTACAGAGAAGAGAAGTCCCCACAACTTCTGGCCATAAAAACCAGCAGGGATTGTGACTGAGTGACACAGAGGCTGTAGGCCTCAGGTAATTCCCTCTTAAAGGGCCTTACTCAGACATACTCCCTCTGACCTCCAGCACTGGGGTGACAGCTTGAACGGAACCTGGTATATTTGGGGAGGAACTAACTTGCTTGAAATCAGAGTGAGAGCTGGAGAGGGAGCTTTCTCCCAGAGAGAAGTGATGGCAGAGGCCATTGTTTCTTTGCTGAGCCATCCCTACCACTGAGCTGGCAGGCAAGGCACTATATCTGAATATTCATCAACCTGGCTGACACTTTTGCCTCACCTTGGTGATTTCCTGAGACCCCGCTCCTCCCTACTTGCAGGCTCATCCAAGCCATTTCCAGTAGCTCTTCTATACAACTGGCCTCTCTTGTCTCATGCTTTGGACTTTACTAAAATCTCTCAAACAAGCAGCAGCTGGCCTTAGCATGTCCTAGGCCCAGCACTAGCGGCAGCCCTCCTTGGTCCATAGCTTGGTCTCTCCTGGGCACCTCCAAGCCCAATATAAGTAGCAGCCATCTGCAGATTGCTTTGTACCTTATGCTGGTGGCCCTGGGCAGGGCAAAGGAAGGCTCCAGAACCAAGGCACCTGGTGGTCAGCTTTGACCAAGCAGGATCACAACCCTACCACCCCCACGAGTGACACACTCAAGGGGCAGACTCAGTGAGTACCAAAGCCCCACTGAAGCAAGTCCTGCTCCATAAGATCAGCTCCTGCACAGCAGCTCTTCCACTGTATTCTCAGCCAATCCCCACAATTAATAGGCCTGGGGGTCAATCCCTCCCACTGATGCCAATATCAACCAAGGGTCAACTACAATAGGACAGTGCACAAAGCTCACATAGGAGTGCACCTGGAGTGCCCAACTAGGTGACTAGGGAAGTTGAGCCACTGGGCCCTACAAGACACCTACTACACATGGCCACTCTACCAAGTATAGGAGACAGAGAATAGCTACCTAATACATAGAAGCAAACACAGGG